TCAGCATGAACAACCTGGTATGGTTCCGTAGCTTGCCTACTAGACACCTTACCTTTCGCAGCCATTTTCACCTTGTTTGCTGCGCATGCCTTGCACTTCATGTGGTACCTGCAGGGTTTAATAGTCATACCTTCAACCAAGGCAGGCATTTTAGATACTGCCACAAAATGCAAATGACCAAATTTTCTATGAAAATCGTGAATACATTCTGCATGCAAACTTTTGTTAGAACCTGCAATGCAACAAGTGTCATCCTGCACAACATCATCATAATACAAAACAAACAAACGATCAACATATTCAGCATGCATTACATAATCATTTTTCTTTGTAATGATGCACTTCTTGTTCTTGAAGGAAACGTCAATGTTCTGCTCATTCAGCTGTCCAACGCTGAGCAGATTATGTTTGGCGTCTGGCACGTAAAGCACATTCTGTATCGATAAGTCCAAACTGTGAAGAGCAACAGTTCCGTAGCCTTTACTGGGAATAGTGTGGTCATCCGCCTGGTGAATCGCACCTTCCTGCGGTGTAAAAGACACAAACAGTCTCTTATCGTTGCACATGTGGTGGGTCGCCGCTGAATCAACAACGAAGAAAGATCTAGACGTCTTCTGGACCTCTGCAACCTTTGGAGTGAAGCGTGAAACCATAGCTTTGTGCTGCGTTGTCCTAGACACCGGACCTTTGCCTTTGCCTCGGCCTTTTCCGCGCGATGAGCTTTCGCTGCGCTGCTCTGTCTTGGCCCTGGGATATCTGCATTCCCTCTTCATATGGCCTAGACGTCCACATGAGTAGCATTTCACTGCCTTCAAAGCTTTGGCGCCATCTGGTGGTTCCACTGCACTATGGGACGACGTCTGTGAAGACTCCCCCTTGCCCATGCAGCTAGCACCCCGGCTAGCACCCGGCGATCTGCTTCATTTAAAATCACGGCAGTAACAAAGTCCACTGTCAGCTGAGCAGTCGGCTTGCACAGCAATCAGCAACAGACTCCCAACCTGAACCCAAAGATTGTAGTATCATGAAAGAATACACAGCCTCTGGAAAGTTGAGTCCTCTCTGTTGCAGCTCATGTCTCAGATTTTGCATCTCCATCAGATGTAAACGCACATCTCCACCTTCAGCAAGAGCCATATTATGCAGCTTGTTAAAGTAAAACATAGTGGATCCAGCTTCCGTCCTTAAGTGAGCCTCTCTCAAAGCGTCCCAAATTTCTCTGGCTGAGGTCTTATCACGCAATAGACAGAGCTCTTCCGGGGATACTATCAATGTAAGAGTTCCCCTTGCTTTGGAATCCTTAGCTTCCCATGCATCTGTAACTGGAGCTGGGGGGGTTTCTGTAATCACCTCAAACAAACCCTCTTTCCGCAGAATTGCCTCTGCATACAGAACCCAGTCCGCATAATTTTTCTTGTTGAGCTTAGGAATCCCACAAGCATCCTGAAAGGCCATCATGACTCTGGCATTAGCCTTCAGCGTCATATATGCTGCTTTAAATCTTGCTGCGTCACTGCTGCAGCTGCTTTATTCCAAAAGCGCACTTAAAAGTTACTTTCGATTTCCCCAGCATAATAACTTGTGCCTGGGAGCCTTTTGCCTATTCCCGGCAAAAACATGTCTGCTTCCCTTCATGTCCAAGCAAAAAGCATAGGCAAAAGCTATATACAATGGAAGTTCCCAGCAGACTGTGCTGGAAGTAAACAGACATGTGACATACAACAACTCCACATGCCTGTTCTAAAGGTGGAATGGAACTATATTCTAACATCCTCCCCCTTTCTGTGTAACCTATAGTACCTGTGGTTCAACCCAATTGCAAACGCTGTACATAAACCTTAAGTTGTTCTCTGTTAACAGCCTTAGACAACAGATCTGCAGGAATTTCATTTCCTGGCATGTAGGACACTTGAATGAGTCCTTTCTGAATACGCACTCTTGCACGATGTAACTTAATCTGCAAGTATTTGGTTTTTTGCTTGCAACTCTCTGAGTTCAGCAAAGCCAAACAGGATCTATTGTCTTGATACACCTGTATAGGACATATCACAGAAACCTTGATGTCCTGAAACAGTTGCATCAACCATTCACAATCCATGAGTGAAAATGACAGGGACCCAGTCTTTAAAATAGAGTTAGACTACCCTTTTTATGAGCATAAATTCCACCATGTTCCTAAGTCTCTCCTTGCCCTGTCCCATGCCTGATGATGTAAATTCCATGGGCTTCAGTTCCACGGGCTAAGCCATCACAGCTCCAGCTCAGCCAGCTTGAGAGACTTATGCTAGTGTATCTCTGGCTGAGCTGGGATGAGGAAGTTACAGTCTATTCTAAACTTGCTCAACCTGTAGGCTCTTGGGTTTGGATTGTGCCGTCAAAGCTTATATTCTCCTGTACCCTATTCTACAGTCTTGAACCAAATCAAGCCAAATGGCCTTGTTATTGCTATTCTGCAGTACTACCAGCTCTTTTTGTTAAAAAGTATATGGGCCACACACCACATAATTATTAAGAGCACCTCCATTTCTGTTGCCTTTTTCTGTGCGCTGAGCATTTTACCATTCTCTCTTTGACAATATAAAGTGGTTGTCATGAACAAATGCTGGATCCAAGCTACGAAAGAAGCTAAGTTCAGCACATAGAGGGATGGAGAATGCTAGTAGGCCAGAGCAGGTAGGATGAAATCAGGAGGTTATTTCGCCCGGCCCTCCCACCCCACTCCACAAGAATGTGGGAAAGGAAATTGGAATGTGAGGGCAGTATCCAATTAACATGTCCCTTCAGTGCAAGTATTTGTGCTTGTGCAACATAACTTTCCCTCTGCTCCTCCCCATGCCCTCCCCCAATCTGCTCTGGTGCTTTGGGGAACCCCTAGAACTTTTTTAGGGGGTGTATGGCAGAGCAAAGGTGGGGGAGCTCCATCGTGCAAACAGGAGCCGTTACTTGAAGAGTTCCCAGAATCTCTTCAGCAAAGTAGGATTTACACATGGATCTCAAAACAAATGAAGATGTGCTGTTGTTTATCTTTCCATGATGAGATTCCCCCACCTGCACTCATCCTTCCACCTCTGCAATAAGAATCTTGAATTCATTTCCACCACTTTCATAAGTAGCATCAAGAGCCATTGTAAGGGGTTAAGTTTTGTCAAACCACTTGTAACACCAGCAACCATTGCAAAGGATTCAATATCTATGTGAGTGGGTGGCAACCTTATGTAAACAATCCAGATCCATTGTATTTTTATTTTATGGGGGAAATTACTCAGATATGAAATGGTAAAGTTAAAAGGAAGCAAAGATGCACATATACAAGTGGCAAATCGCGTCAGGAGATATGAAGGCTATTTATAAACTCATGTTGAAGGCTTCAGTGAAGTGTGTCATTTCACCAATTGAAAACAAACAAGATACCAAACTGGATCAAGTCAATTTCACTATGGTTACAACAGCAAAGTTAAGGTGGCTTGCTATGAAATAAGAGAAGGCATTTGCAAAAAGAAGTACTAAATGAAGGTAATTGAAAAGGCCATGAATTCTGATGAATTCAGTGTCAATTTGCAATAAAATGGGGGTGGGGAATCAAAGTGGAAGTTGGTCAAACAGTCTAGGGCTGTTTAATGTAGAAAAAAATATGACTAGGGGTGAGGGAAGATTGTGGCTTCATTAGGACAGCTCTTCAGTCCATCTTCCCAATGTTTCCTTTCTGGCTGATTTTCACATTTTGTGTAATCTTCCACACAATTTAAATGTTTCCACAGCATTACACCTATTCTTCTTGATGTTGCTCTATCCTTTATTCTAAATCATGACTTTTCCATGAAATTGGCAATAGGTTGCCTTTAAAATTTACTGACCTGTCCACAGTGGTTATTGTTTGTGGAATTATTGTTCGGGGGAGTGGGTTGGGGAGAGAATTGCGTTTTAATCAAGTTTACTTTATAGACCCTTAGTCTCAATACTTGTAAATGGACTAATAATAATAATAATTTATTATTTATACCCCGCCCATCTGGCTGGGTTTCCCCAGCCACTCTGGGCGGCTTCCAACAGAATATTAAAATACAATAACCTATTAAACATTAAAAGCTTCCCTAAACAAGGCTGCCTTCAGATGTCTTCTAAAAGTCTGGTAGTTGTTTTTCTCTTCGACATATGGTGGGAGGGCATTCCACAGGGCGGGCGCCACCACCGAGAAGGCCCTCTGCCTGGTTCCCTGTAACTTGGCTTCTCTCAGCGAGGGAACCGCCAGAAGGCCCTCGGCGCTGGACCTCAGTGTCCGGGCAGAACGATGGGGGTGGAGACGCTCCTTCAGGTATTATTATTATTATGTTAACATATTTACTTGCTCCAACACTGACTCAATCTTATCTTTACATCTGCCCTTTTAGTGTTAAATTTTAGTTTGCTCACTGTATAAAGACTCTTATTTCAAATAAATCATTTGCTTTCATGGTGCATCTTCAGCAAAAGGAAAATGTTCATATGACTCGGACTACTGGAAATGCCATTTCCTTTAAAGGGCACAGAACTCCCACCACCTTTGACTGTACCTCTTTCTCCCCAGCCTTACAGAAGTCAAATACTGTACTGTAAAATAAGATTAGGGCCCTTTAACCACCCAGCCATTACCTCCAGGGAGGTAGTCTACTGCACTCCAGCCTGTTTTGATCTGACTTTGACTTGCATTTGCCAAACATCACTAGGATCTAGTTCTCCACTTAGATAAGCATCTTTGGAGGAAAATGTTTCAGCCAGAGGAACCCCTTTGGAGCTGTCCAAGGTCCTGGTTGTTTCTGCCATGTACACACAGGTCCAGCTAATTGCCTACTTGTTTACAAAAATCCACAAATCAGTTTTTCCTTTGTCTCTCTTTTGCTGGTTGGCTGCAGTCATTTCAGGAAGAAACCATGGAGAGAGGGGATAGGGAGATAGGACAATTCCTATATGAGAAATGATCCTATAGAAATCAATGGAAACCGTGGACTCATGCAAATGCTCATCTAATGAATGAATTCCAGGGAAAGCATTGTGTTCAGTAAGTGGGGCCTGCCTGTACCTTGATCTGACTTTGACTTGCCATTGGATGCTACACAACACACTGACACTCTGTCAAAAAGATTGAAAAATCCACTCACCTGCTTTATGGCACACAGCAGCTTCCCATAGCAGTAAACAATAATGATAAAAGGAAGGACAAGGCAAAAGACGAAGAGGCAAATTATGTAAGATACATTGTTAGCATCCCGTGAATGCCAGTTAACTGAACATGTCGTGCCTGGTCCTTCTGGTCCATAGCTACTCCATCCAAAAAGTGGTGGCAAGGTCCAGAATAAAGAATACATCCAGGACACGAAGATTCCCAGCCATACTTTCTTGTAGTTTGTGGCATCAGCTTCAGTTGTACCCATCATGGTGCAATAGCGTTCATACGAAAGCACAGCCAGGGATATAAGTGACACCGTACCTGTAAGGTAACAGCAGATTACTTGGTTTTATATCGGACAATTGTTTTCTCCGCGAACAAGTGCGTCTTATAAACAAGGCTTTGAGGGCTTTGAAGAAACACTTTGAGCCATGAGACCCTTCCATTAGCAAATTCTTTCCTAAATGACCTTGGCCTCATATCTACTGTTCCCTCGCTACTTGTGCGATCATATTACAGTGGTACCTCGGGTTACATATGCTTCAGGTTACACACTCTGCTAACCCAGAAATAGTGCTTCAGATTAAGAACTTTGCTTCAGGATAAGAACAGAAATCAGGCTGCAGCGGCACAGTGGCAGCAGAAGGCCCCATTAGCTAAAGTGGTGCTTCAGGTTAAGAACAGTTTCAGGTTAAGAACGGACCTCCGGAATGAATTAAGTACTTAACCCGAGGTACCAATGTATTGTGAGTAGGGAGTTGAACTAGGTGACCTCCAAAGTTCTTTCCAAGTATGGTTTTATGTTTGAAATCTAGAGAAGAATAGGACTGCTATTCAAGCCAGTTGTCCAGGTCGAGCCTGGCATGATCTCTTGCTAGACAAATTGCAGGTAATATGTTGTCATGGGAACTAAATAGCTGGCTGTGAATCTCAATATCTGGCCTTCTGAAGGGCTAGTAAATATCCCCTTCCCAACCAAATGTAATCAAGGTGTCTGTGTGTGACATGAGGAATAGGCTTGCAAAGTGAGGCAGACAGGAAACAGCCTGTTTAAGTTGAGTGTTTCCATCTGTGTTCACCCTGCATGTGTGTAAATAAATGCAAATAGTGGTAAAGCAATGGTTCAGAGATCATTTGCATTCAGAATTGGTCTTGTAGCTAGCTTGACCTTTTAAAAACTACATAGTAAATTCTTGTAAATTATTATTCATCTGTTGCATTAATATCTTGCCTTTCTTCCATGATGAAACTGAAGGTGCTATATATTACAACAGCATTTTTTGTCCAGGCACTTACCAGACCCAGGGCTGCAAGTTCCTGTATTACAGGGGTAAAGAGTCTGTGCTGCTCCAAATGCTATTGGACTCCAACTCTCACAATCCCTGACCACTGGACATGCCAGCGGGGGCTGATAGAAGTTGTAGTCCATCACACTGTGGCCACCGGGTTCCCCATCTGTTTTAGATTATACATAAAATGGAGGCAAGAGAGTCTCTTTCTATCTCCTTATTCTTCCAAATAGTCTGCAGAAGAACAACTCTTCTCACGCACCAGCAGAGGTGTGCTTCCACATTTTCATGTCTAAAGATTGCAATGTAGTACAGTGGTACCTCAGGTTAAGTACTTAATTCATTCCGGAGGTCCGTACTTAACCTGAAACTGTTCTTAACCTGAAGCACCACTTTAGCTAATGGGGCCTCCTGCTGCTGCTGCGCCGCCAGAGCACGATTTCTGTTCTCATCCTGAAGCAAAGTTCTTAATCAGAAGCACTATTTCTGACTTACCGGAGTCAGTAACCTGAAGCGTATGTAACCTGAAGCGTATGTAACCTGCGGTACCACTGTACTTAATTCGTCCCAGAGGTCCGTTCTTAACCTGAAACTGTTCTTAACCTGAAGCACCACTTTAGCTAATGGGGCCTCCTGCTGTCGCTGCGCCGCCACTGCACGATTTCTGTTCTCATCCTGTAGCAAAGTTCTTAACCCGAGGTACTATTTCTGGGTTAGCAGAGTCTGTAACCTGAAGCGTATGTAACCCGAGGTACCACTGTATCTATGCGCACTCAATATGCAAAACTATGCATTGAGAATACTAGCATATTGCAAGTTTTATGTATTTGGAAGTCTGCAGATCACCCAGGAGGCATTTTCACACACCATTGAGACAGCAGGAAAAACTTGCTGAAGTCAGTGCACAATTACATATTTATGTTTCTTAAAAACCAAAAAATCAGACTCGAGAGGCTCATTATTTAACATCACATCATTCCTGCACATGCTAAATGGATGCCATACCTACTGCAATTATCACAGGCATCAGTTATCACAGGCATCATACATGGTATCATGGGCATCCCCTTCAAATGTGTATGTAAGTTGGCCAGCTTTATTCATAGGAAGTATCAGGATAAAGGTAAGAAGTTGTTTCCCGTAATGCTGGTAAAATTGATGTGGATGTTTCCAAATCCTACTGAGGTAGGAGATGCAAAGAAAAATGAGTGTGCATGCCAATAACTTTCATTCAAATACAGATGAAAAACCATTCTTGCACTCACACCATCTATCAGTCTAGGGTTGCAAACAGTGATTGGTTCACCCATATTTTCCCTAGAAAATTTCCCTTCTCGGTAGTGGCGCCCGCCCTGTGGAAAGCCCTCCCATCAGATGTCAAGGAAATAAACAACTATCTGACATTTGGAAGACATCTGAAGGCAGCCCTGTTTAGGGAAGTTTTTAATGTTTGATGTTTTATTGAGTTTTTAATATTTTGTTGAAAGCCACCCAGAGTGGCTGGGGAAACCCAGCCAGATCGGCGGGTAGAAATAAATTATTATTATTATTATTATTATTATTATTATTATTATTATTATTCAGAATAATGAGATTAAAACTGAGCCAACTCCAGACTGGGTCTGAGGCAGATTTGGCCCTGTTAGTCGGTGAAGATATTCTATTCCTGGGACTAGCAGCCTCAATCCCTGTTTCAGCTTTCCTAGAAACCCTTCTCACCTTCATGTGGCAGGAACTGAGGTGCTGCTTGGAGCAAAATTTAAGAGTGCTGTGAACAAGGCTATTGATTAAATTTCCCATGGTTCTTAGCAATATATTCCTCTTATCCAAGACCACAGCTGTAGTCATGGCATTTGTCTGAGTCGTCCACACTGCTTCCCATGTACTAGTAAGCTGCAAAAAGAAAGGCATGAAGGCAATGGCTCCAGAGAACATTGGGGCAATTTCAAAATTGGCCAGACTCCAGAGTGTGTAGTTCAATCCAAAATGGATCTGAGCAGGACTGGATACCTGAAATCTACTGACTAACCCCTTTCCCTTCCCCTAGATTTATTGGAGATTTACCATCAATATTTTTTAAATAGCCAGTTCAATATCAATAAAGTAAGCTGGAGGCAGAGACTGTTTACTAACTTAATTGAATTTTGTAGAAAGCCTTTGGCACACAAAGCAAGCTTATCAAGGGAACTTCTTTGTCTTTTGTTTTTCAGGATGCCAGGAAGAAAGGCAGAAAAGGAGAAAGAAGGTTGTATACAGATAATATCTCTAGATAAGAAATCTATGGATTTTTTTACAAGCTTTCCCAACATTACTTTATCAGCTAGGATGTTCTGTGTCAACAAAAAAGGAAACATCAAATGTCCCAGGGTCTAGGGAATGTCCCTTGACTGCACTTGCAGGCACAATAGCTCAAGGACCCCCTCTCCCCAGATGAACCGACCCAAATCCTGCAATCATCAGCTGAGGCCCTTCTTCATGAACCTCCTCCATGAGAGGTCCGGGGGGGGGCAATATTTGTACCTCAGGTATTTTTGCCTAGCTGGAATGTGTCCCTTGAACTTTGATAATGCATCTTGCTTATCTGCGTGGACAGAGGTGCCAATTTGAATAAAATGGGGGAGGGCAGATAAGCCCTGCATAAGCGATCACATGACAAGGTGCGCACACAACATTTGAATTGCAAAGCATATCATTTTTTGGGGGGAGCGTAAATATTTGGGGGGGCAAGACCCCTCAGCCCCTAGGAGTTGGCTCCTATGTGCATGGAAAAGGGGGTCTGGAAATATGTATAGAAGCCAGGCTACTATGGAAAGGTAAAATTTAACAGCAGTTGCTCCACTCACTTTTGCCTCTGCCCCCCCCCCAGCCCCTGGCTCTTGTAACATTTCCCAGAAAGGAAGGTGCAGTTCATGCTGAAAAAGATTCCCCACTCCTTGATTACAGGGAATTTTGGAGTACTAGGAAAAGGTAAAGGGACCCCTGACCATTAGGTTCAGTCGCAGACGACTCTGGGGTTGCAGCACTCATCTCGCTTTATTGGCCGAGGGAGCAGCATACAGCTTCCAGGTCATGTGGCCAGCATGACTAAGCCGCTTCTGGTGAACCAGAGCAGTGCACAGAAACGCTGTTTACCTTCCCACCAGAGTGGTACCTATTTATCTACTTGCACTTTGATGTGCTTTCGAACTGCTAGGTGGGCAGGAGCAGAGACCAAGCAATGGGAGCTCACCCCGTCATGGGGATTTTAACCGCCGACCTTCTGATCAGCAAGCCCTAGGCTCAGTGGTTTAACCCACATAAATATGTATAACTATATATATCACTTTTGGAAAGGGTCACTTTGCTTTCACTTATGAAAAAGTGCAACATGTATGAAAACATGCATGGCTGCTACAACAGAAAACTCACTCTAAAGACATTATTCTGCTAAATATGTTGCTAAATCTAACTAGGCAAGCTGTCAGTCTCTAAGAGTACACCATGCAACTAGGCTGTCAATAATAATGGCTTATTTGATTGTCTGATTCAAATGCCACTTTTTTGAAGGGGGAGAAATAACTGTTTCACCTCCGTACTGAAATTCTGTGAGAGCTGCTGGCATTCACTAAACAAAATTGCTTTGTCTATATACTGTTTAGGCTGTAAAAAGACCTGTAAAGGAAATTTTCTTTTTCTTTTAAAAAAAGGTTCTGTCTGTAAATGGCAGGTCATATGTTGCAAAGGGTGTAGATAAATGGTAATTAATAATTTTTAGAAATGGCAAACATAATTATTAATTTATTGTGGTCAGCAGACCCAAAAGAAAAAGAGGAAACACAATTTTCATAAACACTGTTCTATGCTGGCCTTGTCATCTATAACATGTTCATCTTGATTCTGAGAGGTTGTCTGGTATGACGCAGACATTACTGACAGGTCAAGATTCAAAGGCTTTGCTCTTTCAAGTTGCAATTTTGATAATGCAGTTCATTTAGGAGTATGTGTGCAAGAGACAGCTGCGATTCAAGGTTAAGGTGCAATGACTAACACTCT